AACAATACACGTCCCTTCACTATGACTGTTATGATACATATCTCTAGCATGAGAATCAAATACATTATATCCCCCAGCCTCAATGCTGTAGATGCCAACACCGATAATTGCCACCGTTAAAATGAATGAGTTGTAGTTCAGTGCCAAGACTGTGCTTCAAATGCTGCACCCTGTGAGTGGCATATACAGTAGTGACACCCCTCAGTTCTGGGATCACCATGGATGTTACAAGTATAACTGTCACTGTACTGTATTCAAGGTGGAAAAATTGCTCAAACACTGTAACCATTCCTGGCAATTCTGTTAACATTAACATAGATCGTCTTGCAGGCAGTGACAGACTAGAATAAAATTGAATACCAACAATCATTGTTTGAGTCATATCATCAACTGAAGTCATCTTTATTATCTTACTATAAATTAAAGCGCACAGACTCATTGCGACACATTGTTGTCCAGCAGTTTCCCCAAATACTGTAACGTTTCCTTGACAGTATGGAGCATGAATTGTTTTATTTGTAGCATCTACATAAACTCAAGGTCCTGAATTCTTCTCGATATCAGTACAAAGCTTAAATTGGCCAAAATTTAGCCGGTGATTCAAACTGCTGTAAGCACTATAAATTGGATAATTGCATGTACAGAGGGGCAAATTCTTACTTAAAAGCCTATTTGGATATCTCATTCCACCTCAATCGCCTGTGCTTTGATGCTTAAACGACAGATACACCTTTCCTCGTTTACGAACTAGTTTTGGAGTTGCCCTTTAAGTAAAAATCTCACACTGTTACAGTTACTTCTGTACCTGTTTAAGTGCAAATCTTTTCTATTTTTAACGTAAAAATGAATTTCAGACGACAATGATGTATTTTTCCGAATACTCTTCGATGCAGAAAGTGTCACTTTCCCTGTTTTCTGTAACAAAGATTTTAATTTGTTCGTCGGTAGTCTGCTAGGTGCATGACTGCGTTGAGAGAAATGACTAACCTGATTTAAACCAGTGGAGCTGTAAGTTCTGTTATAAATTAATTTCCCAGTACGAGATCTTAATTCAACTTCTTTTATTTCCTCCACAACACAATTTTCCTTCTGTAAAACTACCTCATTACCTTCTCTTGTCGTCACCTCGCTGCCATCAAAACACTCTAAGACAAAACTTGCTGATAATGCAAAATGCCCACGCACAGCATCGTACATGTACCGCGTCCCACGCAGACGTTCTTGGGGGAGCTCGTGGGAGACTACTAAAGCCTCAGAGTCATGTTAGAATTTTAGTCTAACAGATCGAACTTTGGCTATTGTTCAGAACAATTCATTTCCGATAACAAATACGGCCTAAAAACTTCTCAAACAATTTAATATCTAGCACCGTATCCGAACCGTGCCAAAAGGGAAAGTAACTGGTGCATACGATTTTTACACTGCTTTCTATTCCAGAATTTTGTCATGTTTGTGTATACTCTCGTTGGTGTATAAAGGCTTCGGTTATGAAGTTGTTTGCACAATTCACAAGCACGCCGGGTTCGAATGCGTTGATACTGTTTCTTCCAACAAAAATATTCTTCGTATGCGGTGTCGTTGCCCTCAAGATACTAAGGAGCTTTAGCGTGGACGACGCAGACGGTAGCGGAAACGTCACTTTTAAAATGAATTCGTGTTTTTTCAATCTTTGTCGCGTTAATTCCAATCTGCTGAAAATTGCAAGTGTAGACGAATTTCCCTGGAGTTGATTTCTTGAGGACCGCACTCAAAATTAGACGGAGAAAAAGAGATTCGTCGTCGCTTGTTTACGTCCTCCATTAAACTTGCAATTAGGTATTTTCACGTCGTAGTCGGGCAAGGACGGTAAAGAAATGTACAAAAATACGTGATGCACGTGCAAAGTTGTTGTTTTGCATAATAAAACTATTGCTTTTTTGACGTCCTGGTTGCAGTCGCCGTCGTCGTTGCTAAAGCTCCCTACTGCAGATACTCTGCAAGCTTCCTTGGAGAGGCAAAAGTTAAAGTTTTATTTCCTTCCAGAAAAGCGTTTATATTCCCTTATGTTTATCACCGCAGTGTGCTTTTTGTTCTTTCTTAAGCTAACATGGTCAAAACCAAAAGTATCTATAATTTTAAAATGTTTTGTTTCCGTCAGACGTATCTTAATCCTAGCTGTTTCGCCTAACGAACAATTAAAGACCACCTGTCATTTTCCTCGTTATGTTTATAACTCTAAGGCCCAGTTCAAAAGCTGATCTTTTATGTACTAAACCTAATCTCTTTAAGAAAGTAGATGAAGAGATCGAAGTTTGAATCTATAAAGTGTGACATGTCTAATTTGGGTCGACCCAATAATTAATATCGAGTGGCCAACACGGGATTTCGTGAGCGACTTCGTTTCAAAGTGAAAAAACGTCGAACTTCTCATGTGACGAACCTAATGCATAAATTACCAAAATTTATTTTCACTTGTAAGCATTTTAAAACATTGAACATCGTGAAAATTAATTGAGCCTGACTAGTCAAGTTTGACGTCTGATGTTATTAGGGTCTAAAAAGGGTAATTACATTCGGTACATGAAAAAATCGACCTTTGCACTGGGCCTAAATTAATCAACTATACTGCAACAAATTTTACTACTTGCTAATAACACTACTAATGATGACTATTTAACTTCAAATATATTTCTTTTCCATCTATTAATTTACAGTCTACGTGATGAGGGAATATTGCTTGAAATAATAGGAACTTATAGATCTCTTCAATCCCTACTATTTGCATTTCTTTTTATTCGCTTCTTTTTCGTATATAAAGGATGCATTAGGTTTCCAGACACTGATCGACAGCAAAGTTCCGAAACTCGAGAACTATTTGCTCTAGGATTTAGCAGCTATACTGTTCAAATGTCCTACGAGACATCTGATCTACATGCATGTTGAATCAGCCAAATCCTTTCAGAATCAATTCTGTTTTTCACTCAACGCATGTCACTTAAAAATTGCCTATTCGCTAATAAACAAGTGTATGATTTTCACAAAGCATCTTTAAGCTGAACTTATTTCCCACGGTAAAAACAACAGCTAGCATAATTTCTTAAAGATTACCTAGTTTAGGAGATAAAACGACTTCTGCAATCAATCTAATTCTCCCAACATCTCTTAGTATCTCTAATTTCATGGGCACCCAACGGCGGTTTCTTCCAAATACGTGGAAAACACTTTTTAGGCTATCCAGAGTACTTTTAGATCTCTGTTCGGTCACCCTAGAGGAACTTAAGTCTTTTCGAAATCACAAGGACTTCAGTGTTATTTTTCCGGAAATTTTAGGTGCAATTTAACATTTTAAGAAAGTGAAAATTTTTCTGATTCCTCTCTCACATTTTAGAATCCGAAAATTTTAGGTTTCCCTTTTCTAAGATAGTGTGACCTGGGTATTAAAATATGAAAAATTTAATTGCAGAAAATCGTAGGGAATTAATTAGATTAAGCTTCGAAAATTGTACATGAATCGAACGTTTATCTAGAAATTTATAGCCGTCCGGAAGCAAAAGAAAATTCTAGACAGTATTTGTTTCTCCAAACAGCTGTTTTACAGAAAACAGTCGTTGCGTGCCCCTTTAATTTTATCAACGTCTAAAACCACCTCCTCACTAACAACGAAAGCACAGGCTTAAGCAAAAGCATAATCCAAACATAAGTTAGGCCCGGTTCAGACGCCGCTCCACTCATGTACCGAGCCTAAACTGAATTAGGCCCGACTTTGGAGCAACATTTGCGTACAGTAAAGTCTAAGCCCGTTAATAGGGAGCTCAAGCAACAACGACGGCGACGGCTACGAAAACGTCACTTAAAAAGTGAATTCGCGCTGCTTCAAACTTTATCGCGCTTACTACATCTCGTTTACTTCGTCAAATGTTGGCAAATGTTTTTGGAGTTGAATTCTAAAGGACTGTATCAAAGTTTAGGAAAAGAAAAACAAAGTTGTTGCCTTGTGTTCCCGTCCTCGACAAACCGTGAATTTAGGCACTTTCACGTTGTAGTCGTGCAACGACGGATAAGGAAACGTGATGTGCGCGCAAAGTTGTTGTTTTGCTAATCTAAAGCTATGGCTTTTTGCCGTTCTGGTTGCCGTCGCCGTCCTCGTTGCTTAAGCTCCCTAATGGACACTAAGGGGGCTAAAGAAAGTGTCCGTATTAAGCCGGTTGAATTTAGAGAAAATGTGAGGGCTTACTTTCACCAGAGACAAGGAATACGGTCCGTAATAAAGAGATGTCTCTCCGTATTAAGCGGATGTCCCTAAAACGGGGGTCGACTATATAAGTATTAGCATAACAAGCTTTAAGCTAGGTGAGAAAGGCTGTGATATATATAAGCATAAGAGTAGTAAGAACGCAAGGTTTTGATATTCTTGTGTTGAAACTTATCAGCATGCTTATATCAAGTCCATCCTCCTTAATACCGAATGCAATGCTTGCGTCGCCAGTGAAGATCCGGCTTTTATATAACGCTAAAAGTTTTGATGCCTTGCAGTGAGTAAAGTGATAGATCATTATTGGTCATTATACGTTCAATACTCAGTTTTTTAACCTAATGATATTCATGGTGCTAAGTTAAATAACCTGCGATGAAGGGCTGCATTTCTATTTTTCTGATTTACAGAAATAAATGTTTGTAGATGATCGCAGCCTACCTTTAAAATGAAAGCAGTCATGGTAACTATTTAAAAAATGTTTTGAGTTGACTCGCAGCATGGGGCACGTTAGGCAATTTTGCTTTCATCCTACCTTAGTGGTGAAAAATAATGTAACCACGGTTTAAAAAATAGAGAAAGAAAAATTCTTAAATTGTAACTTTGATTGTTGCCACACCTTTGAATTAATGATCGTGAAGTTTCAATTTCTCAAGTTACAATCGCCGTTTACAATCTCTTCTGATCGTCTTTTCTCAAGATGGCCAACAGCTGGAGTGTTTTGTTCGACTAAACTGGCAGATGTTAGTACCGACGGAATATTTAACGCTTATGTGTTAACAGTGTCGCTCCTAAGGCCACATCTATGACAAATCCATCCCCCAATTAAACGTAAAACTTGCCTGTACTGTGGTATTCTCCAAGGGTAGAGCAGCGGGTTCAAAGCACAGCTAACACACAACAGCGGTACGGAGAGAGCCTTAGTAAGCAAAAACCCTGGCTCGCTGCATTCACCGCCAAACTCTTCTTGGCAGCGTTCTTGTAAATTTGTCACGATTAAATACGGCAATAGAGATATGAAGAGCACAATGATAATTGAAACAACAGTAGAAACAATCTTTTTCTCCAACCTAATGTTTCGAAGAAAAATGCGTGACCGTCTGCCTGTGTTTTCTCGCACAAAAACAACGTTTCTTGAATAACGGCGAAATTCGATGTAAGTCGCGGTGTATAGGGCACACATGATAGTCAATGGAATAGTTGTTTGAAGATGAAGATCAATTACGTGGAATACTTCCTCATATTTATCCAAAGAATGAGAAGCTTCAAACATAATGCAGAAAATCCAGATTAAAGCGTTACAAACAATTACTTTTCGCACCGTTATAAGTCTTTTATACCTCAATGGAAGCTTGACAGCTAAAAATCTATCCAGAGATAGCGCAACTACTGTAAGAATTGATATCTTTGTGGTTACATGGCTAAAAATAAGAACGATTTCATAAAGTTTCTGCGGTTGGCCTCCGGTAGAGATGGTGAACATAGACGCAGCATACATTGGCTGCACAAGACAGCCTCCTAGAAGATCACTTAAAGAAAGACTAAGGATAAAGTACGTGGTCGCGCGAGCTCGAAAATAATTGTACGGATCTTTGAATACTGTAAATAGAAGAAGGCCGTTTGTTAAGGCTGCAAATAAACCAAATAGTGAGCTACAAATTCCTGCTACCAGTGCAAACGTCGCAGTCGGTAAACCTTCAACATGGTCTTGTTCATCGTCTTCTTCATTCATAATTATAACAAAGTGAAGCACTCTTTGCTTACCAGAGACACTCTTTAACTCACAGATTACTGTTTAAGACTAATGAATCGCCTTGGATGCATGAATAGTTAATTCGTCCTAGGGGAAAATAACGCCCATGATGGAAGCTGTTATTTTGCAGTACTTATGTCTTAATGACAAAAGTTACGTCCACGTGACAGAGAAATAATCAAACCTTACCGCCACGAAAATAACAAGCATTGTCAGATAATGTCAATAAACTGACTTGTGAAGGCAAAAATTTCATAACAAAATCTTAGTTTAAAATTTCTCTATTCATTTGGCCATCTCGCAAACGGTTAATGATATTATTACTGAAGACTCAGAAATACTATTCCGAAAAGATTCATTAGAAAATGTTCACTAATTCGAAAGCAGATGAATCGTTAAACAACAAAGAAAATTGGCTTTTGTTTGTTCAAAACATAGCATTTGCAAAGCAACATCGCAAGCAGTGTGAGAAATTTGAATATTTCAGCAGAAACCATGTATTCTTGTTTGCAGTTATCATTGTTAATCTTCGATGGTTGAAGAGCAAACTTACGCTTAAAACCGACTCAACAAAAGGAGAGAATCTCTTTTGCTTTGGGGTAATGAAATGTGATACTTACGAAATATTCCTGTATAAAATGAAAAAGCTCTCTGCCACATTACTCGTAACTAATGGATTAAAAAGGTCGTTAAATAGGCCTTCATGTCGGAAAAATAAAATCCGGAGCTTTTAAAAATATGACAAAGTTTTATATCAGGTTAAGACTAGAAATGAGATTGGAAATCAAATAAGAAAATGTGCATGAAGATTGTCGGTGAGTTTTCGCCGACTCTTTTCATTAACAATACTGCCGTAACAAATATTTGACCATATATCATTTCCACCTTCCTGTGATTACATCAACATCCGACACAGCTGTGACCAATAAATACTGATAGATCGTCTGGATATTTTGATTGACAGACAATATTCTTTGCAATCTTAGAAACTCTTATTGTACAACTACAGTGGCCTCTTCAGAGCCAGTTTTGATGCAAATTAAGAGAGCATTTCTCTTTACGATTTCTTAGTTTGAAGAGAAATTTAACAAGCGCCGGGTTTTGTTTGAAGTTTCATCACCAATGCAGTGATTAAAACAACTTAAAAGGAACTGCTTTAAATTAGAGCATTAAATAAGCACTTCTGTTACTGTCAGTTTCTTCGTTTATTGCTAAAAAGAGTTAAGCAACTATCGGTTCACAAAGTCACGGAAACTGTTACATCGAGCGCTTTGACATTACAAGGAAAGAGTTACCCACCAAGAGCCATAATGGGAAGAGCCATTTAATGGGACAGAGACGGAAACGCCCAGTCTAGCCCTTGGGATATGTGAATTTTACCAAAGTTATTTTTAGACTAATTAAACGCTTGAATCAATCGGAGATTGGTTTCCTGAGAGGTCTGCGAAGTTGTATTCAGCGCTGTCAAGAAATAGTGGCGTTCGGCGTGAAGGTGGAAACAAAGGAAATGGTTTTCTCTTGGAAGGTTGTCCCGATTGGGAGCTACGTTCCACGATTTCGTCGGAAATGACTGATTTTCTAGATGATATATCAGTTTATTAGGAGGAATTGAAGTCCGCTGACAGCGATCCTATGAAATTTCAATTTCGGCACTGGAACCTCGGCAGGAAGAGAGAAACAACAGCAAAAGGCAAATAGAGGAGTGCGAATAATCGTCGCACAAAACAATCCAAGCAGCCAAAGGTCAATTCCAGTGAAGCGACGTCGACGCGCAATTCGAACGAAAAGGCTAAAATGCAAGCAAATCACGGTAGAAATCAAAACTGGAAAGCAGCAGAGGTGCTTTAAAAAAAAGCCGGACTAGAGAGTAAACTTCGTCCCACGTGTAAGAACTTCGTATCAGAACAGCTCTAACAATAAGTCATGAAAAATTTGGAAACCAATCGAAAGCTAATGGCTAATCGAAGAAATATTCGACGCTCAGAACATTGTATCTAAAACTTCTTTCTTCAGTGGTAGAGGACGCAAACAAAACCCGTCAAGTTCATTTGACATTCGAGGTTGTGGGCCCAGCGTGTCAAAACATTGTAGGAAATCATCACATTCGCGGACAAAAGAAAGTCGCTTTTAGTTATTCAATCCAGGAGGAACTTTGGAGAAAATTGAACAACCTAAAACCTTATTTAGCAGCAACAAAGAGCGGTAATTTTGGATCAAAGGGGCCAATCCTGCAGACCAGAAACAAAACCCACGGAAAATCAATATGCGTGTCATGATTAGATGGGAACTCGGTCCAGTCCCCACACTCTCCAAGTCCAAAATGGCGAGCCAGTTAATTCGATATAATAATGATTGTATCATCCCAATGCAAAGCTTTGTTTGGGTTATTTTCTTTAAAAAAGCAACAAAAGCTTTTTGTTGTCCAGCTCTCCTAACTGTGGATGGATGGTTTCAATTTTTCAGCTCTAAAGGACTTGGAAAATCACAGTTTACCCCGATATTGCTCACTGAAGCTCGTATATGTTTGTATAATCTACGTATGTATGGTCATGCTCCTTTGCTGATGGGTATTTACAACAAGTATTCAGGCTATTACAAGGTCAGACGAAGATTATATGTTAACGAACCTTTTGATAAGCTAAATTTATCTAGTAAAGATAAAATGGGCCTGACAAAATATGGAGACTTTCCATGCTTGGAGTAATGCTTAGAAATATGACGTGAAACTGAATATATATCAAAGAAAAGTTTAAGCATCTTTTAAAAAGATCGTCATATCTACGTCAGAACGTCATCATTTGTGTTCTGTGGTGGTTACTGTTGTATATTAGGACCTATACTCCCCCTCAGTAGGGCATTGAACGCCTGACTATAGGATTAAGGACCACGAGTCGTGTAGGCCGAATAAAGCCATCGTCTAAGGTTGAATCCGTTGTAATCCTACGTTATTTGCCGACTAGATCGGTCACAACACTGGCGACGAGGGTAAAACAAGACCCCAAGAAGTCAGCGAGACCAAAAGTTTGCGAGAAACATGGACGATAATGAAAGAAACCATATCAAAACATTCGACTGTCATGGGGACCAAAACACGCTTGGCTTGCGATGGAAGCGGTGGCTGACGGCGTTCGAACTATTTGCAGTCGGCAAAGGCTTAATTTTAAATGAAGACAACGCGAACAACAGGCAGAGAAGAGGTGCATTAATGCTCCATCTCGCGGGACCCGATGTTCAAGATCTTTTTCTTACCCTACCGAACACGGGAGATGTGAAAGATTACCGGAAAGCGGTCGATGCACTAAACGCATACTTTGCTCCCATAGTGGACAGTACGTATGCTAGACACTGTTTCAGACAGCTAGCTCAAGTACCAGGGGAAACAATCCGACAGTTTGCAACCAGACTCAGACGAGCATCGAAAGATTGTGACTATGGCGAAGACACAGACAACCAAATTAGTGATGAAATCCTCGGCAAGTGCACCAGCACATACATAAAACGAAAACTCCTGGAAGAACGTCAAGGCCTCACTTTATCTAGAGCGCTTGAAATCGCCGAGAACTGCGAAAAAGTCGACGCACAGCTTGCTACATTGACCATAGAAGAAAAGGGAGAGAATTCAGCCAGTGTAAACCGCATAGAGGGAACAAAGACAGGCCATGGCAAGAGAAATCAGTCACGAGGTACCAAAACCGGCCGTGAGAAAACTTGTCACCGACGTGGTAGTACCGGACATTTCGGTCGAGATTCCAACTGTCCAGCAAGATGTCAATTCTGTCATCGATGTGGGCTGGAAGAACATTTTCAAGAGCAGTGCAGGACAAAGCAGAAAGGTGGAGAAAAGCAAAAACAAACCAAAGGCCACAGGAACCCCAAGGGAGGTGCTGCAAATATGGTTGGTTGCCACGACAAAGAAGAGGAACCAGTGTATGCTTTTACGGTAGGAGGAAGGAATGAGGAGAAAATTGAAGTGACCTTTGGAGGTTGTAAGCTGAACATGATCATAGATTCTGGAGCAAGCACTAACATCATTGACAAAGAGACAGGGGAGTGGTTGAAGAAAAACAAAGTGAAGTGTGAATCAGCTCGCTCGAGTAGGAAACTCTATGCCTACGCATCCCAGACACCACTTGATGTGATAGGAACTCTCTCCTGTGAAGTCTCTGCAGGACGCAACACGGCTAGTGCCAAGTTTTGTGTGATCAATGGTGAAGGAGACCCCTTTCTGGGAAAGGACACTGCAACTAGTCCAGGCGTACTGAAAATAGGGATTGGCATCGCTGCAGTAAGTGCAGACCCAAAGACCATTGGTGGGATCCTACAACAGAAGTACCCAAATGTCTTCAGCGGCGTTGGAAAGTTGAAAGACCGAGCAGTACAACTCCACATCGACCCCAATGTGACATCAGTAGCACAGCCGATGCGGAGGACTCTGTTCAGCGTGAGATCAAAGTTGGAAGAAAAGATTAAAGAACTCATTGATCTAGACTTTTAAATACGGAAATAGAAATTAAATACGGTAATAGAGATATGAAGAGCACTGAACTGAACTGCCATCATATTTCTACAAAGTTTTACCAATGAGGGTATTATATTGGATAGATCGCCCCTAATTTTCGGCGTCAAGCAGAGCATGGTATCCAATGTTTGCGTTGTAAAAATAAAACGTTGCATATTTGTTGAATAAAACAGAAAAACCCTCCTGTACACAAGACAACACTGCAAACTCTATTTTACAAATTGTAATGATATCCCAAACTCTAGCAGTCACCAGGAGCCTATCAAAAACTGCAGGGCTCCTGCAGTCACTAATGACACATGCAATGTCAGCTGTTTCCCTTATTTTATTTTTCTATCGCACCTACGTTTTCCTGAGAATTATTTTAGAAAGAAACAAAAAACACACTGCCCTGATAAACTAAAAAGATTTTACCAGTTATTCTCACTTAATTTCGCGAGTATTAAATCTTGCGAAAAATCATGAGCCATATTTGGCGAGTATTTAATTTCGGGATTTTTAGGGATTTATAACGCGTTTTAACTAAATTTTTGGGGATTTTTAGATTTCGCGAGAATCAAATTTCGCGATTCGTTCCAAATCGCGAAACTCGCAAAATTTAGTACTCGCGAAATTAAGTGAGAATAAGGTAGATTAAACGCATCGCTGAAAAGAAATAAAACTTGAACTTGACGCGGTTTCGTATGATTCTTCCAACATACATCTTCAGAGGAATGAACCGTTGACTAATAACAGAAATTTAAATGCAGAATAAGTAACTAATTAAAGAAACAATACATGACATATGGTTGGAAATTTGTATGTCATCTAAATTGTTTCTTTCTATAACATTTTTATTCTTTTCAATATTTCTTTTCTATATGTGTCATTTATTGTTTCATTAATTAGTTACTTAGACTACGTTTAAATTTCTGCTATTATCATTCGATGCAAATTTTTGTTTCTTTTCATAGGCCAACGCCCACCACGTGACCTGCAAATAATTGCCTATAAATAATGGTCTGCTCATGCGGAATGTCGTCGTTCAACTGTGTTTGGCTGCAATAGGAGCCGCTGCAAATAATATTCTGCTCATGCGTACACGAAACCACGCTTTTCTCCTTCTTGCGATCGCTCTTGCTTGAAAAATAACCGATTGCTTCGCTTCCCACAGATATTTATTCATTAAAAAACAAACTTGGAGATCGAATGATAACACAATTATTCGACGGTTTATACTTCTGATTGGAAGATGTATCTTGGAACATAGGGAACATACGAAAGGTCAAGTTAAAGTTTCATTTCTTTACAGAAAAGCGTTTACATTTCCTTATGTTCATCACAGCAGTGTGCTTTTTGTTTCTTCTTAAGCTAAGATGGCCAAAAACCAAAAATGTCTATGATTTTAAAATGTTTTGTTTCCGTCAGACGTATCCTAGCTGTTTCGCCAAACGAACAATTAAAGACCAGCTGTCATTGTCCTCGTTATGTTTATAACTCTAAGGCCCAGTTCAAAAGTTGATCTTTCATGTACTGAACCTAATCTCTTCAATCAAGTAGATGAAGAAATCCAAGTTTGAATCAATACAAAAGTACGACATGTATAATTTGGGTCGACCCATGAATTAAGATCGAGTAGCCAACATGGCGTCTGTGGAGCGTCTTCGTTTCAAAGGACAATAAACGTCGAACCTCTCATATGCCGAACAACTAATGCATAAATTACTAAAATTTATTTTAACTTGTAAGCATTTTAAATCATTGAACATCATGAAAATGAATTGAGCCCGACTAGTCAAGTTTGACGTCTGAATCAACCGTCCAACTTGGGTCTAAAAAACGTAATTAAATTCGGTACATGAAAAGATCGACCTTTGCACTAGGCCTAAATTAATCAGTAATACTGCAACAAATTTTACCTCTTGCTACTAAGACTATGATTATTCAACTACATTCCTTTTCCATCTATTAATTCACAGTCTACGTGATGAGGGAATATTTCTTGAAATAGTGATGGGACCTTATAGATCCCTTCAGCCCCTACTATTTGCATTCTTTTTATTCGCCTCTTTTTCGTATATAAAGGACGCGTTAGGTTTCCAGACACTGATCGACAGCAAAGTTCCGAAACTCGAGAACAATTTGCTCTAGGATTTAGCAGCTATACTGTTCAAATGTCAAATGAGACATCTGATGTACATGTATGTTGAATCAGCTGCAAATCCTTTCAGAATTAATTCTGTTTTTCACTCAACGCATGTGACTTAAAATTTGCCTATTCGCTAATAAACAAGTACATGATTTTCACAAAGCATCTTTAAGCTGGACTTATTTCCCACGGTAAAAACAAAAGCATAATTTCTTAAAGATTACCTAGTTCAGGAGATAAAACGACTTCTGCAATCAATCTAATTCTCCTAACATCTCTTAGTATACTAATTTCATGGGCACCCAACGGCGGTTTCTTCCAAATACGTAGAAAACACTTTTTAGGCTATCCAGAGTACTTTTAGATCTCTGTTCGGTCATCCTAGGGGAACTTAAGTCTTTTCGAAATTACAAGGACTTCAGTGTTATTTTGCCGGAAATTTTAGGTGCAATTTAACATTTTACGAAAGTGAACATTTTTCTGATTCCTCTCTCTATCACATTTTAGAATTCGAAAATTTTAGGTTTCCCTTTTCTAAGATAGTGTGACCTGGGTATTAAAATATGAAAAATTTAATTGCAGAAAATCGTAGGGAATTAATTAGATTAAGCTTCGAAAATTGTACATGAATCGAACGTTCATATGGAAATTTTTAGCCGTCCGGAAGCAACAGAAAATTCTAGACAGTATTTGCTCCTCCGAACAGCTGTTTTACAGAAAACAGTCGTTGCGTGCCCCTTTAATTTTATCAACGTCTAAAACCAGCTCCACACTAACAACGAAAGCACAAGCAAAAGCATAATCCAAACATAAGTTAGGCCCGGTTCAGACGCCGCTCCACTCATGTACCGAACCTAAATTGAATTAGGCCCGACTTTGGAGCAACATTGGGGCACAGTAAAGTCTAAGCCCGTTAATAGGGAGCTTAAGCAACAACGACGGCGACGGCTACGGAAACGTCACTTAAAAAGTGAATTTGCGCTGCTTCAAACTTTATCGCGCTTACTACATCTCGTTTACTTCGTCAAATATTGGCAAATGTTTTTGGAGTTGAATTCTAAAGAATTGTATCAAAGTTCAGGAAACGAAAAACAAAGTTGTTGCCTTGTGTTCCCGTCCTCGACAAACCGTGAATTTAGGCACTTTCACGTTGTAGTCGTGCAACCACGGCTAAGAAATGTACAAAAAAAACGTCACGCGCAAAGTTGTTGTTTTGCTAATCTAAACCTATTGCTTTTTTGCAATTCTCGTTGCCGTCGCCGTCATCGTTGCTTGAGCTCCCTGAGGGGGCCAAAGAAAGTGTCCGTATAAAGCGGGTTGAATTTAGAGAAAATGTGAGGGCTTACTTTCACCAGGGACAAGGAATACGGTCTGTAATAACGAGGTGTCTCTCCGTATTGAGCGGGTGTCCGTAACACGGGGTTCGACAATATAAGCATGAGCATAACAAGCTTTATGCAGAGCGAGGTGAAAAAGGCCGTGATATATATAAGCATAAGAGTAGGAAGAACGCAAGGTTTTGATATTCTTGTGTTGAAACTTATCAGTGCTTATATCAAGTCCATCCTCCTTAATAACGCATACAATGCTTGCGTCGCCAGGGAAGACAAGACTTTTAAATAAAGCTAAGACTTTTCATGGCTTGCAGCGAGTAAAGTAATAGATAATGATTGGTCACTATATATACGTTTAATACTCAGTTTTTAAACCTAATGATATTCATGGCGCTGAGTTCGATAACGTGCGATGAAGGGCTGTATCTCCTTTTTTCTGATTTACAGAAAAAAATGTTCGCAGTTGATCGCAGCCTAGCTTTAAAATAAAATCAGTCATGGTAAATATTTAAAAGATGTTTTGAATTGACTCTTAGCATGGGGCACGTTGGCCAATTTTGCTTTCATCATACCTTAGAGGTGAAAAATAATGTAACCACTGTTTAAAAAAATAGAGAAAAAAAAATTTTTAAATTGTGACTGATTGTTGCCACACTTTTGAATTACTTATCGGAAAGTTTTAATTTCCCAAGTCACAATCGCCGTTTACAATCTCTTCTGATCGTCTTCTCTCAAGATGGCCAACAGCTGGGATTCTTTGTTCCACTAAACTGGCAGATGCTAGAATATTTAACGCTAATGTGTTAACAGCGTGGCTCCTAAGGCGAAATCTCTGACAAAACCATCCCCCAATTAAACGTAAAACTTGCCTGTACTGTGGTATTCTCCAAGCGTAGAGAAACGGGTTCAAAGCACAGCTAACACACAACAGCGGTACGGAGAGGGCTTTAGTAAGCAAAAACCGGGGCTCGCTGCATTCACCGCTAAGTCCTTCTTGGCAGCGTTCTTGTAAATTTGTCACGATTAGATACGGCAATAGAGATATGAAGAGCACAATGATAATTAAAACAACAGTAGAAATAATCTTTTTCTCCAACCTAATGTTTCGAAGAAAAATGCGTGACCGTCCGCCTGTGTTTTCTCGCACAAAAACAACGTTTCTTGAATAACGGCGAAATTCGATGTAAGTCGCGGTGTACAGGGCACACATGATAGTCAATGGAATAGTCGTTTGAAGATGAAGATCAATTACGTGGAATACTTCCTTATTTTCATCCAAAGAATGAGAAGTTTCAAAGGTAATGCAGAAAATCCAGATTAAGGCGTTACAAACAATTGCTTTTCGCACCGTCATAAGTCTTTTATACCTCACTGAAAGCTTGACAGCTAAAAATCTATCCAGAGATAGCGCAACTACTGTAAAAATTGATATCTTTGTGGTTACGTGGCTGAAAATAAGAGCAATTTCATAGAGTTTCTGCGGTTGGCCTCCGGTAGAGATGGTAAACATAGACGCAGCATACATTGACTGCACAAGACAGCCTCCTAGAAGATCGCTTAAAGAAAGACTAAGGATAAAGTACGTGGTCGTGCGCGCTCGAAAATAATTGTACGGATCTTTGAATACTGTAAATAGAAGAAGGCCGTTTGTTAAGGCTGCAAATAAACCAAATAGTGAGCTACAAATTCCTCCTACCAGTGCAAATGTCGCAGTCGGTAAACCCTCAACATGGTCATGTTCATCGACTTTTTCGCTCATAATTATAACAAAGTGAAGCACTCTATGCTTACCGGAGACACTCTTTAACTCACAGATTACTGCTTAAGACTAATGAATCGCCTTGGATGCATGAATAGTTAATTCATCCTAGGGGAAAATAACGCCGATGATGGAAGTTGTTATTTTGCAGTACTTATGTCTTAATGACAAAAGTTACGTTCACGTGACAAAGAAATAATCAAACTCTACCGCCACGAAATTAACAAGCACTGTCAGATAATGTCAACAAACTGAATTGGTGAAGGCAAAATTTCATAACAAAATCTCAGTTTAAAATTGCTCTATTCATTTGGCCATCTCGCAAACGTTTAATGACGTTATTACTGAAGACTCAGAAATGCTATTCCGAAAAAGATTGATTAGAAAATGTTCACTAATTCGAAAGCAGACGAATCGTTAAACAACAAAGAAAATTGGCTTTTGTTTGTTCAAAACATGGGATTTGATACAGCAACATCGGGTGCAGTGTGAGAAATTTGAGTATTTCCGCGGAAACCATGTATTCTTGTTTGCAGTTAGCATTGTTAATCTCCGACGGCTGAAGAGCAAACTTACGCTTAAAATCGACGCAACAAAACGAGAGAATCTCTTTTGTTTTACGGAATGAGCTGATGAAATAAGATACTTACGAAATATTTCTGTATAAAATGAAAAAGCTCTCTGCCACTTAACTAGTAACTAATGGATTAAAAAAGTCGTTAAATAGGCCTTCATGTCGGAAAAATAAAATCCGGAGCTTTTAAAAATATGGCAAAGTTTTAAATCAGATTAAGACTAGAAATGAGATTGGAAATCAAATAAGAAAATGTGCTTGAAAATTGTCAATGGCATAATCGTCTTTCGTGGGCATATGTCATTGAGTTTTCGCCGACTCTTTTCATTAACAATACTACCTTAACAAATATTTGACCATATATCATTTTCACCTTCCTGTGATTTAATACCATCCGACACAGCTGTGACTAATAAATACTCATAGATCGTCTGGATATTTTGACTGACAGACAATATTCTTTGCAATTTTAGAAACTCTTATTATACTGCTACAGTGGCCACTTCAGCGGCAGTTTTGATGCAAATTAAGAGAGCATTTCTCCTGATGATTTCTTATTTTGAAGAGAAATTTAACAATGCCTGGTTTTGTTTGACGTTTAATCACCAGTGCAGCGATTAAAACATCTAAAAAGGAACTGCTTTAAATTAGCGCCTTCATTAAGCACTACTGTTAATGTCGGTTCTTCGCTTGTTGCTAAAAAGAGTTAAGAAACTATCGGTTCACAACGTCACGGAAACTGTTACATCGAGCCCTCTGACTTTACAATGCAAGCAAAGAGTTACCTTTCCAAAACACCCTTTATCTGGCAAATTCTAAAAATTTATGCTGTTAGCCGGGGACTTTCGAGACGTACTCGTAAAATGAGGAAAAAGTTCTGGTATACTAATCTATCGCAACCAATAATGATTAATTAAGCAGCGTGACGCTTGATTGAATTTTCGTAAACTGGAGAATTGTTAATGACTTTTTGGTAAGAGAGTGTATAGCAGTAAGTAATCATCATTTCTGATAGACATTTTAAATTCTGCAAGCGGAATACTGTCATGCTGATCGTACTACGTGCAAATTATAACAATGCAGAGACATCAACACGACACCGAAATAACTCAAAACAGAGCGGGATTGTAGCCATGGACAGCTGTTTCGCTATTATTGTACCTGACTACAGCTGACGTATGAGTAGGGTTATCATAAGAGACATTAATTAAAAGAGAAGTACAATAAAACTGCGCATGCAAAGAGCTGAGATAGTAAAATTGTTTCTGATCACTGTCATCAGAAAGAGTATCGAAAACCGAGCACATAAATTACACTGTTTGTGCTGATCTTCGTTTTGTTAAGCCTAATTGGGAAAGGAAGCGTATTTGTGGTCGGAAATTAAATGCCATCAACTTAGAGCATTTTCGACAAGATGTTGCAATGTCTCCTCTTTTGTCTGAATCATCCAATGATTTAGTTACGCTGCTTCACTTGTATAATTCGAAGTTATCTAGTGTTTTGGATAAGCATGCGCCATTAAAATCGCACATTGTTACCATACGTCCCGCTGCTCCATGGTTTAGTGAGGAGATTAAAATGGAGAGAAGAGTTCGTCGCCGACTGGAAAGGAGATGGCGTAGGACTAGATTGCCCGAAGATCGTCTGCGTTTTATTGAACAAAATCGTATTGTCAATGAGCTATTAATCTCTGTCCGCTCCCAATATTACACCAAGCTTATTGATGATAATTGCCTTAATCAGAGGAAACTGTTTGGCATTGTCGGTAAGTTGTTACATCGGAGTCCTGCACCGCAGTATCCATCTTGCTCTTCCGTTGCGGATCTTCCAAATAGATTCATTGGCTTTTTTGGTGAGAAGATTATTACTATTCGACATGAACTGGAATCGAACCCTATGCAGGGAGCTTATTTATTCAATGAAGTCACAGTAGCAACAACTAGACTCCATCGTTTGAGCTGTCCTTTATATTCGACCTTACTTCAGATTGTGCACCCTTTGGCATCAAAGTCTTGTGAACTTGACCCTGTCCCCTCTAGAATACTCCTTGGTTGTCTTGATCTCCTTTACCCTGTGATCTGGAAAATTGTTAAGCTGTCTTTGGAGACCTCTGTCATGCCCACTGAACTTAAACAAGCTGTAATTCGCCCTTTGTTGAAAAAGCCGAGTCTTCATTATCAAACATTTAAGAACTTTCGGCCGATCTCTAACCTCACCTTCTTGTCCAAAGTCATTGAGAAAGTAGTCGCTTTGCAGCTTGTTGACTACATTGACAACAATGGTCTGTGTGAAGTCTTTCAATCTGCTTACCGTGTTAACCATAGCACCGAGACGGCTCTTTTCAGAGTCTACAATGACATTGCTATGTCCAATTGACAATCAAAAATCTGTTGTTTTGTTTCTACTGGACCTGTCTGATGCTTTTGATACAGTTGATCATTCTCTTGTCCTTGCTAGACTATCTACCCGTTTTGGCATTTGTGACCAGACACTGGACTGTTTTCGTTCATATCTATCTGATCGCACTCAGTATGTCAGAATCCAAGATGTCTCTTCTGATGTGCATGCGTTACCTTATGGAGTACCTCTGGGTTCCGTGTTGGGCCCCTTGCTTTATTCTTTGTACACTTCCCCCTTAGGTGATATTGCAAGATCTCATGGTCTATCTTATCACTTTTATGCTGATGATACACAGTTATATTTATCTTTTGAAACGTCATCGCCTGAGGATTTGTGAACATGTACATCTGCTCTTGAAGATTGTGTTAAAGATCTTCACCTTTGGATGCTAAATAACAAGCTGAAGCTGAACAGTGGGAAGACTGAAATTATAGTTTTTTCATCCTCCTATCGCCCACGTCCTGCGTTAAAAAACCTGGTGATTGCCGCTGACACTGTTGACTGTTCAACTACCGCTAAAAATATTGGGGTTATTTTTAATAACTCTCTATCGATGTTGCCGCGCGTTACTGCTGTTTGCAAGTCTTCGTTTTTTCATTTACGCAATATTTTTAAGATTCGCAAGTTTCTTTCTTATGATACATGTAAAACTCTAATTCATGCCTTTGTTACTGCAAGGATCGACTATTGTAACTCATTACTCTACGGTCAGCCTAAATGTATCTTGAAACGTTAACAGAGTGTCCTAAATAGTGCTGCTAGGCTTATTCACCTAGTCGTAGATATGAGCATCTTACGCCGTTGCTTATTCAACTTCATTGGCTACAAATTGAACAAAGGATAACTTTCAAAATTGCAGTAATTACATTTAAGGCACTTCATGGTGCTGCACCTAGCTATATCACTGATCTCATCAAGCCTTATACACCTGGTAGACTTCTTAGATCCTCTAATCAATTTTTACTTTCTACGTCTAAATTTAATCTTAAAACTTATGGTGGGCGGTCTTTTACTATTGCTGCACCTTCTGTTTGGAATGTACTTCCATTCGAACTTAGATCTTGTAATTCCCTTTCTTCTTTTAAATCTAAGCTCAAGACTTGACGTTTTAAAATTGGTTATGATGCTGTCGTATAGAATGATGATGACTAAGAAGGAGAGACTGCTCGTAGTCTACATAGTGCATTTATGTTGAAAACTCTTCCATATGCGTGCATGTGATGGAAACACGGGTGAAACAACATCCTACAGTGACTCAGTATTACGTAATTACGTCTTGCTTGATGGCATTTCCATTATACGACTTGTGTCGTTTGGATAAAGGCCCCTGGGGATAAAGTTCTGAAGGTTGAACTAAAGCAACGTTCACACGGCACTAGACGAATTGTCGACTAGTTGAAAATTTAGGTGTTCGGTCCACACGGAACCACCTTAAACGAACGAAAATTTAGACGGCTCAGCCGTTCGAAAGAATATGAACGCCAAAATAGAGGTCAAACTTTTAGTTTACGTTAATTCAATTCAATTCAATTCAACTGTTTAATACTGTCAACAATTTGACCGGCGCGGTCTGAACACCATAACCAGGGCGGATAAAGGTTGGGCGGTGAAAAGAGCGCGTCCGAGCAAAAAGGTGTGATGCAGTGGACTGGGACTCTGCTTAGAAATGTCGCTTGTTTTCGACGTCGGTCAGGGCTAGCGATGTGGTTAGACGCTACCGCTGTCGCTGAATTATGGCTGCTTGATTTGTTTTCTTGCACTTCTTCCTCGTTCCTTTCTGCTGGTACGCTGTCTCTGAGAGGCAAATGTTGCTATTTTCTGCAAGAGGCTTAAATTGAGTAGACAAACATCTCTTTCAAAGGGTTTCTCTTATTACTTCCATGACTCTACCACTAAATTATATTTTCGTTCTACTACTCGCCAATGTCGATGTTATTCCAAAACAAAAACAACTAAGTACTGCACGAACACGAAGGAAAATCTCATCCATGTTATCCATGGCAAAACTAAAAGACAGCAGATCGTG